GCTGTATCCTCAAAGGGGGTTGAAGTATTGTAAAATTATTGTCCTCCTGAGAGGGTACGTAAGTCCCAAAACATTTAGTCAATCTAAGTGTACCTGCTTTTTAATCGTAGAATAAGTGTGTTTTTAATTTATGGCTAGATTTCTCTTCTGTCGCCAATGGCTGAAGGGATGGTGTAAATCCAGCTAGGGTCCATGCAGGTAGCAAAGGCACTGTAAGTCCCCATGGTCCCTAGTATGGTGATCTACCTTCAGTTGTTGGCGATCTATAGCCCATTTTTACATTGTATTGTCTTCTTTAATTGGAATGTTTTAGCTTTGTTCGCTAGTTTTAGATTGATAGCTGTGATTATCTAGTATTTTTACTGTCCTTCGTTGACAGGGTTTTATATATTATGTGTCTGTATTTCAAATTTAGAACTAGTTTTAGTCACGATATGGCTGAAATATTGCCGATGTGACTTTAAATCTTAACTCACTCACTCTGAGATGGATACATCAGCATCTCAGAAACAATCATCTAAACCAGAGACAACCGTGAAACACAAGTCCAAACCAAACACTGAACAGTCCAGAAGGAACCAAAGTGGCAGAGCCCCAAAAGGGGCCAAAAACCCGATCCAAATCTTTAACAAGTTTGGATCCCTTGACAACATGGATGTGTCCGAACAAGACCATGGTAGGACACATAGCTTGTCGCCTTCAAGGAAGGTGAGGGGTAGATCCCCAGTCCATCCTCCGATCACATAATGTCCTCACACATAATACAATGGAATTGTAGAGGACTGAGGAATAATTCAGCCGATTTACAGTTACTTGTCCAAGATTTTAAGCCGTCAGCGTTCTGTATACAAGAAACCCATCTGAAACAGACAGATACTTTTGACCTCCGTCAATTCAATGCATATCACTGTTTTTCTCCTCCCGGTGATAGAGCTTCTGGTGGATCATCCATCCTGGTGAGAAACAATATTATCCATAGCTCAGTTCCACTTAAAACAAATCTTCAAGTCGTTGCAGTTCGACTTACCTTACAGGTTGCTTTTACTTTGTGTTCTTTGTACATCCCGCCTTCATCAACTGTTCACTTTACGGATCTGCAAGCTCTCTATGATCAACTACCTAAACCCTGTTTAATCATGGGCGATTTAAATGGCCACAACCCACTCTGGGGTGGAACTAATACAAACGCCAAGGGTAAATTACTGGAGGATTTCATTTCAAATAATGACTTATGCATTTATAATGACGGTGACCATACTTATTTACATCCTGGCACAGGAACATATTCAGCTCTCGATTTATCTATTACTGACTCCAACCTATTGAGTGAATTCGAATGGTCAGTCCACGACGACCTCTGTGGAAGTGACCATTTCCCAACAATACTAACACCTGTGAATCCATCTGACGTTCCTCCATCATCAAGATGGAATTTTAAAAAGGCTAACTGGCCTTTATATGAAATTCTGTGTGCTGACCAACTGAAACCTGAACTTTTTAATGATATTCCTGATGCCATAAAATGTTTTTCAGATAAACTAAATGACATAGCTGACGAGTGTATCCCAAAGTCCTCTGCATATCCTCACATACGAAAACCTTGGTTTAATGCTGAATGCAAACAGGCTCGCAAGGCACGGAAAAAGGCTGAACATTACTTCCATCGTCATCCTATGGTCCATAACTTGAACAAATTTAAAATTGTCAACGCTAAGGCAAGGCGTACTTTTAAACAAAATAAACGTCAATCTTGGCGAAACTATGTATCGAAAATTAATTCACGTACGCCGATTTCTAAGGTATGGAATATGATCCAGAAAATCAAAGGTACGGGCTCTAGATCTAGTGTTCACCATCTCAAAGACGGTGATCAGTTATTAACTAATAAATCTGATATTGCTAATAAACTTGGCGAAACACTGGCACAACATTCTTCTTCCTCAAATTATTTACCTCACTTCCAACAGTATCAAAAACAGCAAGAAAAGAAGCCTATTAATTTTACTTCAGATAATGGGGAAGATTATAACGAGGTGTTTTCAACTCATGAGCTCAATACTGCTCTTGACCAGGCCCACGATACTGCTACAGGAGCTGATAACATTCATTATCAACTTCTGAAGCATTTACCGGATTCATGTTTAGAGACCCTTTTGAATATCTTTGATGATATTTGGACTTCTGGAGAGTTTCCTTCTTCATGGCGTGATGCTATAATTGTCCCGATCCCTAAACCTGGACGTGATCATACGGATCCTTCGAATTATCGACCAATTTCTCTCACTAGCTGTGTTTGCAAAACCATGGAACGCATGATTAATAATCGACTTGTTTGGTACTTGGAAACAAATAACCTCATAACAGATATACAATGTGGTTTCCGTAAAAAACAGAAGTACTGTCGATCACTTAGTACGTTTGGAATCGTTTGTTAAAAACGCTCTCATAAATAAACAACACGCTGTGTCTATCTTTTTTGATCTTGAAAAGGCATATGACACAACGTGGAAATATGGCATTTTAAAAGATTTACATGGCTTCGGATTGCGAGGCCGTTTGCCTCAATTTATAGCCAACTTTTTTAAGGGACAGACAATTTCAAGTCCGCGTTGGTTCTACACTGTCTGACCATTACAATCATGATCAGGGTGTCCCACAAGGCAGTATTTTGTCTGTCACACTATTTAGTATAAAGATAAATAGTTTATCAAAAGTTTTAAACGATTCAGTTGATGGATCGTTATTTGTGGATGATTTTAATGTTTCCTGTCATGGTAGAAATATGCATACTATTGAACGACAATTGCAGTTGTGTTTAAATAAAATAAATAAATGGTGCCTTGAAAACGGCTTTAAATTTTCAAAGTCAAAAAACAAATTGTTTACACTTTTGTAGAAAATATAAGCCTCATAAGGACCCTGAACTAACTTTAAATGGCCTTCCCATCAAAGTTGTCAAGGAGGCCAAGTTCTTGGGTCTGATTTTTGACTCCCATTTAACGTTTCTTCCTCATATCAAATCCCTAAAAAATAAATGCCTGAAGGCGCTCGATTTATTAAAAGTCGTGTCTCATTCAAAATGGGGAGGAGATCAATCTACCCTCTTGCATCTATATAGATCACTGGTCCGTTCGAAGCTTGATTATGGCTCAATTGTGTATGGTGGAGCCTGCAAAAGCAACCTAAAACTACTTGATTCTGTCCACCACCAAGGTCTAAGACTTTGTCTTGGGTCTTTTCGAACTTCTCCTGTTGACAGTCTCTATGTTGAGGCAGATGAGCCATCTCTTCCACAACGCCGTACCAAACTATCTTTACAATATATTACAAAACTATACTCTCACAAATCTAACCCTGCATATAACTGTATCTTCAATCCCCTCTATGAGGATTTATACACCAAGAAACCTTCTCTTGTTCCGCCTCTTGGGCTCAGAATTAAACCTTTCATTTCTGCTGCCGGCATTGAGCTGGACAATATATCTCCTTCCGTCTTCTTTCTTCTCCTCCTTGGCAATTGGTGAGGCCAGAAGTTGACTTAACATTAACCACATTTAAAAATCAGAAACTAATGATCTACAGTATAAACAAGAATTTAGTCAATTACGAAATAAATATAATACCTATAAATCCTTATATACAGATGGATCCAAGGATGGTGGCGCGGTGGCTTGTGCCACTGTCATTGGGTCCAAAACAATATCTTCCAGACAACCCAATGACAGTTCAATTTTCACAGCAGAAGCAAACGCAATACTAACAGCTCTTAAATATATTAATAAACACCGTAAATATAAACAATATATCATCTTTTCAGATTCTCTTTTGTGTCTTCAGGCTATTAAAAATCTTTCTTGCAAACCTCCACTTTTATTAGAAATTATTGAATTGTACAATGCACTTGCTACTGGCCAATGCGACATCGTCTTTTGTTGGTTACCCAGCCACGTTGGCATTTCTGGGAATACAATGGCTGATATTGCTGCTAAGGCAGCACTCAACAAATCTGTGACACCACTTCTGATCGCATACTCTGATTACAAAGCTGCTATAAGATCTTATATCCGTGATCTGATGCAAAAGAAGTGGGACACCCAAGTAGGTATCAATAAATTACATGAAATAAAACCCTATATCGGTTACACTTACTTGGGTTGTCAGTCCAGATTTGAAGAGGTCATTATGCGACGATGTCGTATTGGCCACACTAGATATACTCATGAGTACCTATTAAAAGGTGAGGATCCTCCGTTTCGTATCCCTTGTGATGAAAGAATCACGGTCAAGCATGTCCTGCTTGACTGTGTTGAATATTCCATCACAAAGGGATATTTTACTCAACGTAAAACTATGAAGGATCTTTTAGTCATATAAGTTCTCATTTAATTATTGCCTTTTTAAAAAAATTAGACTTGCTAACTGATTTGTAAATAGATATATATTTTATTATTGGTAGTTTAAATTAGTAACTGATATTGTTAGTGGCTGTACCCTCAAAGGGGGTTGAAGTAGCGTAAAATTATTGTCCTCCTGAGAGGGTACGTAAGTCCCAAAACATTTAGTCAATTTAAGTGTACCAGGTTTTTAATCGTAGAATATGTGTACTTTTTATTTATGGCTAGGTTTCTCTTCTGTCGCCAATGGCTGAAGGGATGGTGTAAATCCAGCTGGGGTCCATGCAGGAAGCAAATGTACTGTAAGTCCCCATGGTCCCTAGTATGGTGATCTACCTTCAGTTGTTGGCGATCAATAGCCTGTTTTTTATATTGTATCGTCTTGTATAGTTCAAATGTTTTAGATTTTTGTTACTAGTTTTATATCTATATCTGTGATAATCTAGTTATTTTACTGTCCTTCGTCGGCAGAATTTTATAATTTCACTTAAATTGTTAACTTGCTTTAGTCACGATATGGCTGAAATATTGCCGATGTGACTTAAAATCTTAACTCACTCACTCCCTTCCGAACCGGAAGATATCCCAGTGCCCCACCGGCAGCACATGTTAGAGTTGTTCAAACACATGCAGAACCGATCTCGCAATTCGTCCGAACTATTGGGATACCCTCCAGAAGAAGTGGCATTTCAGAGAACGGTTTGGTACCTTGCACATGCCCGCCAAAACATGACCTTGTGGCGCGACCTTGACCTGATGAACCTGGTGAGTTGTTTCTGATTTTCGTCCCAAATATGAAAATCGGTATGAGTCTTGATTGCAAAGGCTTCAGCATATGTGAATAACACAATGTGAACTCAGTTTTTCTGTGGCCATTTTGTACTGGTAACATGAGCGTATAAAAAATACTCAAATGCACACCCTTGATATCCGGAATGATGCAAATGTATTTAAACCATGAAAAGATTTTAAAATTTAAACTTTACGAATGTTCCCCAACCTTAGAAAATATTCAGATTTCGAACCCTAGTAAACTTAGAAAAGTAAATTACATCACCTATTACAATCAAAAGAATTGATTGAGTTTAGTTTTACGACGCTTTTAGCAGTTTCCCAGCAATATCACGGATGAGGACACAAGAAATGGGCTTCACATGTTGTACCCATTTGGGGATTCGAACCACTAGGCTAACCCACCGCCCCCAATCAAAAGGAATGTATTGGAAATACTGTGTGATTAAGCATTTCAGAGGTAAATGAGAGGTGTGTATATTTGTCGGTAGGATACCAAGAACCGTTCTGGGCAGTGTGTAATATCTATCATAATGTATTAATAATTGTCAGTGTAAAATAAATCAAGAAACACCAAGTCGTAATATTTCACATTGTAAACACTAAACATTGCACACCACAATAACATGTCACCTACAACCTTCCATTAGGACGTCATGTTATTATCCATCTGCTGTAAGGGTTTTACAGCATGTCAGTGCAGTGCAAGCAGTTGTAGCGTGAAGTGACACAAATATAAACACTATTGACACTTATCAAAACGAATCTGGGAAAATTGCACTGTTAAAGTGCTATATAATATACTGTTTCTGTGTAGGTCAATAAAGTAATGCATACTTATTTTATATAATATTGTATTATTATGGTGGGCAAAATATTAATATCGTGGGCAAAATTCCTCTGCTGTGAAGACTGTGGGGACAGAGCTCCTAGGGGGCAAAGTTCCGAGCACCTATCAAATCATATCTCCTTCTAACATGAGCTGAATTGTTGTTGATCTGTCAATAAATAGAAATTTGTATGATTGTCCAACAGTATCTTCGACATATTTGGTATTGGTGATATTGTTGTAAAGCATGGAGCTGAAATTATGTAACATTTTGCTGATCTAAATACAAAGTACCAACTTTTTTTTCTTGTAATTGTATATCATTGTGCCAACCAAAGGTAAATATGAACTTCAAATGATAATGCTGAATTAGACAAATTTTAGCCAAATTGCTTTTAATTTGTAAAGTTAAGCTCATATTGTTATCATCACTTTGTATTAAATTTGACCTTAGACCTTACCAAAATATGTTTGCGATGAGCGTATATGTACTGCCATTGTCCTGAAGTTTAAATCATGATCTAAGTATTCCAAAACTACTATTCCGATGAACATCGGTCAATGTAAACCAGAGGTATTAACATAGACCATCAAGTTATCGGTTAAAATATTACCATAACTGAAATCACATGTTAAACAGCGCCTGCACGGTAGTCACGCACGGTGGCTGATGAAATCCAGCTTCACATCATACCTAAATCATTCCTGATTGTGAAAAATCACATCCCATTCGGTCGCCAGAACTGCACCACATTTTCACCAATTTGGGGGGTCTGTCTTCTAAACCAATATGTCAAACCCAGGATTTTAACATACTTGATTAACGGTTCTAACATGTTCATCAAATACGTGGTTCTCGAGAGAATAAAAAGGTATCCGTTGTAGTTTGAGATAAATATTAACGCACTTGCCTATTATCTCGCATTACATGAAGACAAACATTTGGATGAAGATATCTTTTCACTATGAATTCCTAGGTTAGGCTTATTCCAGAAGGTTGAACAGTGTTGAAGCCATATGGTATTATCACTCCTTTTATATAATAGTGTGCTGCAAATATATATTTGTGGAAATTCTGCTCATTATGAAATACAATAATTATTGTTTCTTTTTCACAATTATTCTTTGATTCATTTTATCACACTAATTTTTAGGTTTCAGTAGATGCTTTCAACAGAAGATGGAAATCAACACGTAATAGTTTTCGATGGTTGTTTGTGACGGTGCATCTACTGTCCATAGTTTACATACTATCTGATTTTTAACACCTCAATTTTTAAAATAAACACAAACAAACATACAAAAAGGGTGAATTCGTCAATGAAAAGAAAACAATGGTTATAGCTGGTGTCAAGACCTTCGAGCAAACGTTAGATATGGAATCTGCATCAAACGAACCATTGCTTGCGAATTTGCCTATAAGTAAATAATTGAAAATATGTAACAGTGACAGTGAATGAGCTTGGTTGACGCCGCTCTGTTCCACAGGATGTACCCCAGCCTGTGTTAGAGTTCAACAGCCCGTGCTGGTGGGAGGAAAACGTCCGAAAAAATCATTGCCCTTGGACCAGGAACCTCAGCAGTGCACCCCTGGTAGAGATTGTCAAATGGAGGGGGCGAGGGGAGAAGAGGATGCTGCGTTGTCTCCCGTACTTCTATATCATAGGACAAGGCAAGAGTGGGACCACCGACCTGTTAAACAGACTGACAAAACACCCCAAGGTTGCCCCTCATCCAGTGAAAGAGTCCCAGTGGTTGTGCCGAACACGACTAAGTAGGTTTAACCATGAAATGAGAGGATATGAACCAGAACGTAAAGACCGAGCATTAGCAGGGCAATATCGGCGTGCGTGCGTGCATGCGTGCTGGCTTGCGTGAGTGAGTGAGTTTGTGTTATACTACTACTTCACCTGCATTGCAGTCAATCGTGATTTCGAATGTTATCGCTGATGCGGACCACTAGGCTACATCTATAAAAGAACATAGTGTTTCACTTGCTGTACTGGTGGTATTTGATCATGGGTTCGAGATCCATATTGTCTTATTGTGTTAGAAATATTATTCACACTAATATCCAACTTATCTTTTATTGTGTTTGAAGTATTATGAACACCCAAACCCAGATTGTTTACAATTGTGTTCGAAGTGTTATCAACACTGAGATCAACATTGTATTTTATTGTGTTTGGAATGTCGTTTACAGTTAGATCCAGATAGTCTTCTAGTGTGTTGTTATTAACAGTTAGATCCAGATCGTCTTCTAGTGTGTTATGTCATTAACAGTTAGATCCAGATCGTCTTCTAGTGTGTTTGAAATGTCATTAACAGTTAGATCCAGATAGTCTTCTAGTGTGTTATGTCATTAACCGTTAGATCCAAATAGTCTTCTAGTGTGTTTGAAATGTCATTAACAGTTAGATCCAGATAGTCTTCTACTGTGTTATGTCATTAACAGTTAGATCCAGATAGTCTTCTATTGTGTTATGTCATTAACAGTTAGATCCAGATAGTCTTCTAGTGTGTTATGTCATTAACAGTTAGATCCAGATAGTCTTCTACTGTGTTATGTCATTAACCGTTAGATCCAAATAGTCTTTTAGTGTGTTTGAAATGTCATTAACAGTTAGATCCAGATAGTTTTCTACTGTGTTATGTCATTAACAGTTAGATCCAGATAGTCTTCTAGTGTGTTATGTCATTAACAGTTAGATCCAGATAGTCTTCTAGTGTGTTATGTCATTAACAGTTAGATCCAGATAGTCTTCTAGTGTGTTATGTCATTAACAGTTAGATCCAGATAGTCTTCTACTGTGTTATGTCATTAACCGTTAGATCCAGATAGTCTTCTAGTGTGTTGTTATTAACAGTTAGATCCAGATCGTCTTCTAGTGTGTTATGTCATTAACAGTAAGATCCAGATAGTCTTCGAGTGTGTTTGAAATATCATTAACAGTTAGATCCAGATAGTCTTCTATTGTGTTATGTCATTAACAGTTAGATCCAGATAGTCTTCTAGTGTGTTTCAAATGTCATTAACAGTTAGATCCAGATAGTCTTCTACTGTGTTATGTCATTAACAGTTAGATCCAGATAGTCTTCTACTGTGTTATGTCATTAACCGTTAGATCCAGATAGTCTTCTAGTGTGTTATGTCATTAACAGTTAGATCCAGATAGTCTTCTAGTGTGTTATGTCATTAACAGTTAGATCCAGATAGTCTTCTAGTGTGTTTGAAATCTGCTTAACACTAAGATCAAGATTTTCTTTTATGGTGTTTTAAGTATTATCGACATCATTCCAAAGTCACAAACGTACAAATTACTTGTGTTGTTCCTCTCACACATGTCAGCCACGCGTTGATTTAAGCCAAACGCAATTTTAAAGAAATTAAAAGAAATTCATTCATTAATTCATGTTTAAGTGAAAACACCATGATAAAACTTTCATGAATGTTAGTGGTTTCAAACTTTCGCCAGTTTTTTCTTTGTGAAAAGCAATAATAAAAGTTACAAATATGCAGCACAAACAAAAAAATCCAATATTCTGTCATCAGTGTATCATCTCCTTCTCAGGGGAATCCTGCTCTTCCTTCGAGATATATTTGAATCTGCAGCAGATGGGCGCTAACTTCATACAGACTAAACACAGTCAGGATAGTATTAACGAATATATCACAGGTGAGAAAAACGCATGTCTTAATGCACTGTCACGAAACAAACGACAATTGACAATTAAAGGTATTAGTAGTAACATCCCAGATGCATTGCCGTGGGCTCGTAGGCCCAACAGTATGCAACACCGCTCGTCTGTCTATATACTTTGTGTTGCCCACACCCTTGACAACTCTCGTAATACCAGATGCATTGTTCATCACAGGTACACTGGTAGTCTGCACCTACTACTCTTGTATGGCAAACACCCGATGACAGCTATAGGTCCTGTTGATATACATAACAGCTCTCATTTTGATGGATAAACAGTGCAGACAAACCTCTCCTTTTGATGGATAAAGAGCGCAGATAAACCTCTCCTATTGATAGATAAGCAATGCAGACAAACCTCTCCTTTGGATGGATAAACAGTGCAGACAAATTTCTCCTTTTTGTGAATAAACACTCCAGACAAAGCGCCCATTTTGACTGATAATGAGTGCACATAAACCTTTCCTATTGATAGATACAGCTTGTTCAGCTTGACATGAGCTACTCTGCATATGCATGACCCGGGAGGTCAAATGGCACAAACGGCAGGTCGAGTTGTTCATTATTTAAATAGGGGAGCAGAGAATATTATTAATGTAGCTTCTCGCTGCCTAAAAGCCCGAATCCAAAACATTAAACCATTTGTATTTTAAAGAAGGTTAGGACATTGCTGACAATTTCTCGACACTGCACACAAAGCTCTCCTTTAGATAGATACATAGTGCAGACAAATCTCTCCTGTTGATAGGTACACGATGCAGACAAAGCTCTACTATTGATAGATAAACAGTGCAGCCCAAGCTCTACTGTTGATAGATACACACTGCAGACAAAGCTCTACTGTTGACAGATACAAGGTTCAGACAAAGGTCTCCTGTTGATAGGTACACGATGCAGACAAAGCTCTACTATTGATAGATAAACACTGCAGCCAAAGCTCTACTGTTGATAGATACACACTGCAGACAAAGCTCTACTGTTGATAGATACACACTGCAGCAAAAGCTCTACTGTTGGTAGATACCTGGTGCAGACAAAACTCTCCTGTTGATAGATACACAGTGCAGACAAAGCTCCACTGTTGATAGATACACAGTGCAGACACAGTCCTACTGTTGATAGATACACAGCGAAGACAAAGCTCTACTGCTGATAGATACATAATGCAGACATATCTCTCCTGTTGATAGATACACGGTGCAGACAAAGCTCTACTGTTGATAGATACACAGTGCACACAAAGCTCTCTTGTTGATAGATATACAGTGCAGACAAAGTCCTACTGTTGATAGATACACGGTGCAGACAAAGCTTTACTGTTGATAGATACACACTGCAGACAAAGCTCTACTGTTGATAGATACACACTGCAGACAAAGCTCTCCTGTTGATAGATACACACTGCAGCCAAAGCTCTACTGCTGGTAGATACCTGGTGCAGACAAAACTCTCCTGTTGATAGATACACAGTGCAGACAAAGCTTTACTGTTGATAGATACACAGTGCAGACAAAGTCCTACTGTTGATAGATACACGGTGCAAACAAAGCTTTACTGTTGATAGATACACAGCGCAGACAAAGCTCTACTGCTGATAGATACACGGTGCAGACATATCTCTGCTGTTGATAGATACACGGTGCAGACAAAGCTCTACTGTTGATAGATACACACTGCAGACAAAGTCCTACTGTTGATAGATACACGGTGCAGACAAAGCTTTACTGTTGATAGATACACGGTGCAGACAAAGGTCTACTGTTGATAGATACACGGTGCAGACAAAGCCTTACTGTTGATAGATACACAGTGCAGACAAAGCTTTACTGTTGATAGATACACACTCCAGACAAAGTCCTACTGTTGATAGATACACAGTGCAGACAAAGCTCTCCTGTTGATAGATACACAGCGCAGACAAAGCTGTACTGTTGATAGATACACAGTGCACACAAAGCTCTCCTTTTGACAGATACACACTGCAGACAAAGTCATACTGTTGATAGATACACGGTGCAGACAAAACTCTCTTGCTGATAGATACACAGTGCAGACAAAGTCCTACTGTTGATAGATACACAGTGCAGACAAAGCTTTACTGTTGATAGATACACGGTGCAGACAAAACTCTCTTGCTGAAAGATACACACTGCAGAAAATGTCCTATTTTTGATAGATACACGGTGCAGACAAAGCTCTCCTGTTGATAGATACACACTGCAGACAAAGCTCTACTGTTGATAGATACACAGTGCAGACAAAGCTCTCCTGTTGACAGATACACACTGCAGACTAAGTCCTACTGTTGATAGATACACAGTGCAGACAAAACTTTACTGTTGATAGATACACGGCGCAGACAAAGCTGTACTCTTGATAGCTACACGGTGCAGACAAAGCTGTCCCGTTGATAGATACACGGTGCATCCGTGAAGACCCATGCTTGCCACAAAAGGTGACTATGCTTGTCGTAAGAGGCGACTAACGGGATCGGGTGATCAGGCTCGCTGACTTGGTTGACACATGTCTTCGGTCCCAATTGCGCAGATCGATGCTCATGCTGTTGATCACTGGATTGTCTGGTCCAGACTCGATTATTTACAAACCGCTGCCATATAGCTGGAATTTTGCTGAGTGTGGCGTAAAACTAAACTCACTCACTCAGATACACTGTGCAGACAAAGCTCTAATGTTGATAGATACACGGCGCAGACAAAGCTCTACTGTTGATAGATATACGGCACAGAAAAAGCTCTACTGTTGATAGATACACACTGCAGACAAACCTCTCAAATTGACAGATAAACAATGCAGACCAGCCTCTCCTATTGATAGATATCGGTAGAGACCAACGTCTCCTATTGGTAGATACACAGTGCAACCAGACCTCTCCTATTTATAGATATAACGTGCGAAGCAATTTTCCAATTAGTTCTTTGAGTTGCATTTCAAAGCTGGTATGATGAACAGGGACTATTGTTATGAATAGACAACATCTTTATTGCAATGTGTGCGAAGTTCGGTGTATCAAGCATGTGATGATAACGGTATTAGCACCTCCGAAGAAAAGTCGCATCGTCCCTGTTCAGTTTTCCAATTGATGCATACACACTGTAGAACAGCTTTCCTGTTGATGCATACACACTGTAGAGCATCGGCACCCGTGAAGAGCCACCTCCTCGTGGTGGGTGCTGGGTAACGCTAAGCGCTCTTCGACCCCCCGTTGTGGACCCGGGGGTATATTTGGTCCACCAACCCGTTTGCCGTGGGTTGCGCCCCTGTGTCGGTGGAGGACGGGAGGCTGGTGGTTGAGGGCAATAGGATCCTGGAACCGTGTTCCTTTTGCCCAACACACCACTTCGCCCCTTACTTCACCTCGACGGGTGGTAGAACTGGCCCGGTTCTGTCAATCGGCTGGTCACGCCAAGCCCTGTGCATAGTTATTTTATTTCCACATTTTTATTATGGGCCTTTGACATTTTGATTTTCAATGTACAAATTATTTATATATGAAATTGCCTAGAGTCATATGTCAGAAGGCGGTGGCTCATGGGCCAAGGCACCCATGAAAGGCCACCTCCTCGTGGTGGGTGCTGGGTCACGCTAAGCGCCTTTCAACCCCCCGTTGTGGACCCGGGGGGATATTAGGTCCACCAACCCGTTTGCCGTGGGTTGCGCCCCTGTGTCGGTGGAGGACGGGATTCTGGTGGTTGAGGGCAATAGGATCCTGGAACCGTGTTCCTGTTGCCCAACACACCACTTCGACCCTTACTTCACCTAGACGGGTGGTAGAATGGGCCCGGTTCTACCAATCGGCTGGTCATGCCAAGCCCTGTGCATGAATTGTATGCATATCATTATTTGATTCTATAATATGTTTTGATTGGTCTTGGCCAACGTATTTACGTTGTCAAAATGAAATCTGCCTAGAGTCTCATGCCAGAAGGCGGTGGCTCATGGGCCAATTTGGTAATGTTGTCCTCCGAAATCTGCATGTTTCCAATTTCTTGTTTTGGGCGAACCAACCAAACATTTACTTTGGTAAACTAACGCAGCTTTTCGCGTCATATTTGCTGAAGTATACCATCCCTGTATCCCCGGTGTTTGCATGTTGGAGATCCGATGCTATTAAACACCGCTCTTTTTGGCACTCCATGGTGGGTGGGGAGCAGGGATGCTGAATCACATTACTTTCACTATGGCTCAACAAAACCCTGGTTCAAATAGATCCAAACGTAGACATGTAGAAACTGATGAAACTGGTCACAATGTAAATGTCTGTCCTGTACTTGATTCATGGGCTCGATTTGTTGTTATCGAGGCAGCAGATAAACAACCAATTAAACTTAATCCATTCGCGATTTCAAAAGCTGTTTCAGGAATTTGTGGCGAAGTGAAGAACGTGACACGTCTTCGAAGTGGATCACTGCTTATTGAGTGTTCAAGGAGACAACAATCTGAGAACTTGTTATCACTTAAAACATTTGCGAACATTGAGGTTGCTGTGTCTATGCACAAAACCTTGAATTCTTGCCGTGGCATTGTTCGCGACAGAGCACGTTGCCTGTCCGATATGTCTGAGGAGGAAATCGCAACTGAACTGAAAAACCAAGGTGTGACCACAGTCAAACGTTTTACTATGAAAACACGAGACGGTGACATAGTTCCGTCTAGTACGTATCTATTCACATTTTCATTGTCGGTCCTGCCGAAATCAATAAAAGCTGGTTATGTGAACATGGGAGTGGAGATGTATGTCCCCAATCCACTCCGATGTTTTAAGTGTCAGAGATTTGGACATGGCTCCAAATTTTGCAATAGATCTGCTGTGTGTCACCGCTGTGGAGACGGACACGAGAACACTGAATGCTCAGCTGAAATACAGTGTGCAAACTGTAAAGGTCAACATGTAGCTTCCTCACGGTTATGTCCTGTGTGGCAAAACCAGTCAAAAATACTAAAGTTAAAACACGAGA